TCAAGTGGTAGAGTGCTAGCCTTAAGCTGAAGAGCTGAGGGACAGCGCCCAGGCCCAGAGTTCAGGCCCCATGACCGGACCCAAAAAAAAAAAAAGTTTAGCTTTCTCCAAGCATGGTAGTACACAACTGTAATCCCAGCTACTTGGCAGGCAAAGGTGGGAGAACTGTAGCCCAAAGCGAACCAGCATGAAACCCTACCTGAAAACAAACCCAAGTCAAGAAGGACTAGCAGTGTTGTGCAAATAATAGAATGCTTGCCCTAGTAAGCATGAGATCTTGAGTTTAATCCCCTGGACTACCACTAAAAAGTCTGGATTTTTTTTTTGGTTGTCTGATTGCAATCTGTGTATCATCTGTGTATCAACTGTGTCTACAATTCTCTCCCTGTTTCCTGCTGCCCCGATCACTGATTTTCTCCATCTCTCGCATTCCACTGCTTTACTCATAAGCTTCTCATCCTTCTGGATGCCCATCTGAGAAGCCTCCCTGCCACCCCTCTCCCAGCATCCTACATCTTCTCTGTCAAGCCAAGGCAGGTTTCCTTTCCTCTGAGAGACTACAGGGCAGCGTGTCCTACCTACACCCAACAAGGGCAAGAGCTATGCTAGAGCCTGGGCTATCATGATTAAAAACACAAATCAAAACTAAATGTCTAGGAACTAAAGGAATTTGAGGAGGCCAGGAACACCCAAGTGAGCAAGCAAGGGAAGAAGGTTCTCTCCCTCCTTCCCTGTCTGTCTGTCTGTCTGTCTGTCTGTCTGTCTGTCTGTCTGTCTCTCTCTCTCTCACACACACACACACTGGCTGGCTGGCATGACAGGAAACATACAGGCATAGAGAGGGATGCAGACACCCCACATCTGCTCCAACCAATTCCACTCTCTCTCCAGGAATGTGGGACAGGGACTCCTTTCTTTCCCCACCTCCAATCAAAATCGAATTTCTCTAGTGAAATCATAGCATATCAGAGGTGTGTCATCTTGGTTTATCTTCTCTAAGTTTTGTTTCTGTACTAGTCAAGATTCAGTGGAGGCAGTACACTCAAGTGGCTTTGCTGAGATTTTGTACAATCTTGTAATTTCTGAAAGGTGTAGTAATTGGTAAATAAGCTGTACATTCTTCTACTACTTAACCATTGTGGGTAATAAATTCTAATTATGAATTATAATTCTAGAACTATACTTATTATTTATATATATTGAAGCATCGTGTTTGTATTAAAATTTCCATCTTTCTAATCATTTTTTATTTCATTGTAAAGCCCTATATTTTCTAAAGTACTTTTTAAAAGTACATGTTATGTGGGTTTATTGTGAAAAAATAGAAAAACCAGAGGAATAAACTTCTACAATTTTATCAGCCAGCGATAACTTAGTGCTAATCATTTATAAACACATGCTTCTAAAAACAGATGTATGGCCAGACACACTGATGTTTTTTGGGTTTTTTGGTCAGTCGTGGGGCTTGAACTCTGGGCCTGGGCGCTGTCCCTGCTCAGCTCTTCAGCTCAAGGCAAGTGCTCTACCATTTGAGCCACAGTGCCACTGGTGGTTAACTGGAGATAAGTCTCACGGACTTTTCTGCCTGAGCTGGCTTTCAACTGTGATCCTCAGATCTCAGCCTCCTGAATAGCTAGGACTACAAGTGTGAGCCATCAGCACCCCACCCAATGGGCTTTTTAAAACAGGAAAACCATACTATTTTTCCGTATAAAAATACTTTCTGTAAGAAAGGAGTCATGCTGCTGTAGGCCTAATGTGCACAGAAACATTGTGAGAATTTTCTTTCATACAGTCTTTTCATCATACAGAATGTCGACCTGTTATGTTGAAAAGTGGTTGGTTTTCTTTGTGCTAGAATGGTATTCAAGCCTTCATAAAGTGGTAGATGAACAACTAAGAATAACCTTGTTTTCAGATTCAATGGGTATGTTCAATATGAATAATTAAAGCGCGTTTTATTGCCAACTTAATTTTTTTCCTGTAAGGGCTTCTTTTAGAATTGAAATTCTTACTATTTTGTTGATCTTCTCTTACCAGCTTGGAAACAGATGATAAATTAATAATAATTTTGGATTTTTATATAGCTTCTTGTCAGATGATTTCTGGGAGTTCAAGAGGCCTGTCCAAATTTCTGTAAATTAACTTATTGTTCTTATTAACCAAGAAGGGAATGCTTTTGTTTTCCAAGTTTTGGCAAGCCGGGGCAATGCATTTTTATTGAGGACTAAGTGAAAAGATGCTATTGATTACAACCTTAGAGGCAGCTTCATCCCCACACTAAAATGAATTGTAGTCCTGCTCCAGCTTAGAAGACTCTGCAGGCCATTATTTTGTAAAAAGAAAAAAAAAGACTGTGCACTATACGTGTAGGCAAAGGAGTTAAAAAGAGACTATCTTTTGGCATAACTAGAGAAATAATATGACCTCTATAGAGCCTGTCATAGCAGTACCCCATTTCTTGATTTGGTATGGCCATACAAGTCACTAACAATTTCACTTCCCATCGTGTGTTCTTTCCCAACTCTAGAAAAATGACCTAAACAAAGGCTTGAATGTGGAAAACAGAGTCACTCTGTGGTCAAGGCACTACACTCCCCGCTCCCAGCTTGCCACTGTGAAAATTATAGGCTTGGACCACCAGCACCATCTCAGTATACATGGGAAATAGAATTGTGAAATCACCAGGTGCTACATGTTCCTTACCTATTACATGAATCTGACTCTGAGAAAAGAGCCCCTTCTTGAATATCAGTGCAGCCAGAAGAATCATCTGGTCCCTCGGGCTCAGATCTCCCTGGGGAGCCTGGTTTTGACTGAAGAGAGTGGTTTGTTACCAAGGTGGTATCTGAGAATTTCACTGTAACATCTTCCTGTCCTAAAAAGGGAAAAAAAAATAAATAAATGGAAAACTGGAAAGAAACAGACTGAAGAGAAACTTCAAAATCAACAACTTCCATCACACTTAATATTTGTAGTAATACTCAAAAACAAAAAACAGAAGTATATGCCACAGATTCCAAAACTCTAATGACAGCCAGGACACAAGAACCAACATGACTGTGTTGTTACCGAGTCCCACAACGAACTTTATGTTTTCCCAGGATTAAATTAATATTTCCTTTAGTACCACAAATGGGAGGGGACAAAGAACACTGCTTGCCTAGAATGAGTGAAATTCTGGGTTTAATCTCCAGTACCTGGGAAGGAAAAAAAACAAACAAAAGAACCAATGGAAAACCTAGTTAACTCTAATGGGTCTTCTATTTATACATTACTGAGAAGTACCTGCATACTTTCAAGATCAGAGAACACTAATAAGTATAACAAAAAATTCAAGATCAGCTAGTAAGAAAACTACAATCTTTGTCACTAATACATGATAGTGAATCTAGGAAATAAGATGTATTTCCTGAACCTACGAAATAAGATGTATTTACTATGGAAAAGAAAAACTAATCAGACATGACAGTATTTCTACTAATTCTTTATCACATTCTGTTTCTGAAGTTTCTTTTTGGAAATTAAAGATACACTTTCCAGAAATAATTAAGCTTTTGAATGCCACAAATCACAAAAATGCAAGCTAATGTTGCCTGATGATCATTAAGCCACCATTACAGAAACAAGGTCCATCAGGGAAAGGAAAGAACCAACCCCAGGATCACCAGAAAGTCAAGAATCCCCTCTTCTAAACACATTCACAAAGAGCACCTTCAAGGGAACTAGTCACGCAGGGACTCAAGGCTTCTGGGCCATGGTATCACTCAACTGGCCAGGAAAACACAATCAAGCAGCCAAACCAGGGAACAGGAATTTTATTTTTGCACAGTATCTGCATTCTTTTCTTCTTTCCCATGTACAGTAGCTTCTAGAAGATAAATGCCCTGTTGGGAACATCATTCAAAAATCTGAGGTCACTTAAAGCCAGTGACTGTCCAAATCTAGCCTTAGATCTCAGAATGAAGGTCTTCAAAGGAGATGGTGCATACCTGTGATCCTAGCCACCTGTGAGGTAGAAGTAGGAGGACTCTACTCTTGTTAGGACAAAAGCACAAGACCCTAGCTGATAAACAAACTAAAAAGAAGAGGACTGACTAAGGGTATAGCTCTCATAGTAGAGGGCTTGTCCAATAGGCTCAAGGCCCTAAAATCAGTCCCTACTACCATAAAAAAGGTGCATGAATGTATGATGCTATCCAAATCCATCTTTTCAATCTGTCAGTGTCTGTCTCTTTCATACTCCCACCTCTCTAATATCCCCATTCATTCACAGCAATCACCTCTTAGCCAAAACCAACATATCTGAACCCAATCACCTCTTTCAGTCTAATGTTTTAAATGAGTTTCATCCCCTTCACATATAGTCCCTCTCTGTTTATACCCTTCCTACATATACCAGTAACTCATACTCACTCTTACCTGTCCCCCCACCCCTTAATTTCCCTCAGTACCTAAATCTCACCTGGAAACTATACTACTATTAGCATCATCTGTTCTTTCATTTGTTTTGTTTTGCATTTTCTGCTTTCTGCTCCTGTTCATCTTATTAGTTTGTTTGCCTATTTGTCTTTTTCCCGGTTTTTCTTCCCCTTCTTTCTTTTTCTTTCTTCCTTCCTCCTTGATCATGAGTGATACTTGTGACATACCTACTCATTTTTCTTAACTTTACCTCCACTGCACTCCAACCCAACACAATTTTAATTTTTCCCCTCTTCCAATTACCTCACTCCACCTCACCATTTGCATCTCCTATAAAGCTTAACTCTCACCCCTTCCCACCCTGTCGAACAAAATACCTAACGTTATTCCAACAGGCCTTCCCTCTTGATTTTTCTATTCCTACCAAAGAACAAAGATACACCTTGGATCCTACATTTATCTAGAAAGAAAGATCATAACCAGAGTAGTAATAAATACTCAGAGTAGCCAATAAATACTCAGCCATTGCCCCATCTTAAGGAAGCTGCAAAAAAAAAAAAAACCACCAACTGAGAGCATTCAGTCCCTACAAACCCTGAAACCAGATGCATAAATCCTGGATCATGAAATTCATGAATAAACAAGACAATGTGTCACTCTTAAAAAACAGTAACACTATAGCAAAGGACTCAAGTGAGTGTAGGAAGGAAGCAAGTCCAAACAATAAGCTCAAAAAACAATAATAGGAACTGTCAACAAAATAAAGGAACAGATGTCTAAAAAACTACATGAATTCTGAGAGAAGTTGGACAAACAAAAAGAGAAACAAGAGAAACAAACAGCTAAATGAAAGAAGACGTTACAATGGATTATTTTGTTCACTGGCCTTGGCAACAGAAACCTAATATTAATCTTGAATTATAAAATGAATCAGAATTAATAACATGCTACATAGGCTGTGGAACATTCAAGTACATTAGCTACTGACTGCATTACTCTAAAGTAAACACTAGAGTTCTGTAACAAAAATAATTCATTTTCTTTGTAGGACATCTTAGTAGTTACAGCAATAAATCCCATACCTAGAAAATATCCTCAAGGTTAAACTACTGAGGAACTTATGATTTTTTCATTAACTGCATGGAAGATAGACTTTAGAGATTGTTTCTTCAGGACATTTTTTTGAATCACTTTTCCCAGAGTAATAAACTTAGTTTATATTCAACAACTGCTACCTGAAGTATATCTAAAGATACTTTTTCCCATTTCAAATACCTAGTAACTCCAGAGTAAATTCTCTTGGTTTTACTTTCTTTTTATATTAAAGATAAATAATGAACTTCATATGTTTGTTCTGAATAATCTCTCACCCATGCACCCAGATAGGAGCCCTCTTGCAGATTCACCTTTTCCCGTTGCTTTGTTTTCTGATGTCCAACCAGTTTTCTTGTATCCTTTCTTGGCCTGATCCACCAGAAGCTGAAATTCATTCTGATGTTTTTTACCTGAAATTAAAATGATCTCATAAGTGATGGGTGAAGAAAGCAAACCATCCCTAAGTGATGGACTGAGTGTCAAGAGGAGTACGAGCTAGCTCAGCAGCACAGCAGCGTCGCCTCAGGAAAGAAACACAGCTACGGCAAAAGCTGCCAAGCAGAAGACAAAAGACTAGAGGGACCACAGAAGCCTCTTTCTCTTTCTCTATCCCTTCCCCAAATATAAACATGGCAATAAGCTATCTATCACTTTTGTCGGCTACTTTAGGTTTCTTCCTGAACCCCACCCTAAGGAGAGAGTTTTGTTTGTTTGTTTGCCAGGCCTGGGGACTTGACTTCAGGGGCTGGATGCTAGCTGAGCTTCTCTATCTCCTGGCTAGCTCTCTATCATTTGAACCACAACTCCACTTCCAGCTTTTTGGTGGTTAACCAGAGATAAGTTTCCAGGACAGGAAGGACTTTCCTGCCGGGCGTTGGCTTCAAACTAAGAGCCTTTGAGCTCAGACTCTTAAGTATTAGCTAGGATTATAGGCATGAGCTACAACACCTGGCAATTCTCCATTTTTTTCTTTTTCAGGCTACCATGAAACAGATTTGTGGGTAAGAAATTTGCTAAAGTAATCGCATTAATATTAAGGAGGCTTAATGCCTTTATCTTGCAAAGTAATAAAATTCCAAATTGAGAAAAAGAGATTTTCCTTTTCTGGTTTAAATCTAATTGTCCCACAGCTGTGAAGCTGGAAAGCAAAGCTACATGGCAGCTACTGCTTTGGCTTTGGCCCAAGAAATCTAATATCTACAGAAAGTGAATAATGTCACCGATTATGACTAATAAAATTGTTCCCTCTCATCTCTTCACCTCGTTTTAGGAGATTTGCCACTTGGCAAGGAGTACTCTAGAGTGTAAACATCTCTGTTCTGCTGGCTACAAGTCCTGAATTTACCTCTTAAAAGTTTTAAGTAGCTCAAGTAGTTGTGAGAGCTGATGGCTAAGTCCACATTCAACAAACTTAAATTTGTCAAGCTACTCCAAAACCTTTGTTCCGTATTCCAAAAGTGATTCATTTTCATTACCAAGTATGCTTCGACTGCACATAGATGGATTCGCTGTGCTTAGATGCCGGCTCCACACCCCGCCCAGCAACTGCTGCTGCCCTTGCAAGTGAGTGTGTAAGATCACTTCACCTCACTTGTAGTCTACTAAAGGTTATTGACTAATAAATTTAACTACATGTTTCCATGTCATTTTGTATTTGAACATCTCGTGATGAACAATCTAGCCAAATTTTTTCATTCACTAAAATTATAAATAAATAAATAACCAAGTGCCAGTGGCTCACACCTGTAATCCTAGCTACTGAGAGCTGAGGATCGTGCTTCAAAACCAGTCTGAACAAAAAAAGTCTTCATGGGACTCTAACCACTCAAAAACCAGAAATGGAGCAGTGGCTCAAAGTGCTCAGGGACAGGGCCTAAGCCCTGCATTAAAGCCCTGTGACCCACCAAAAAATAAAAACAAAAACAAAAACAAAACACCCACCAGACTTTACAAACTTTGATATTTTTTCCAACTTGTGGCCTGGTTCTTCATTTTCTTAAGTGTCTTTTCAAACGTCATTCATTTTCACAATATTTAATTGGCACATATTTATTATTTGAATCACTTGTGAATGATAAACATGCTGTCTATAATGTAAAAGCTTTGTCTCTTCCAATATGCAGATGAGCATATTTTTTTTTTCTCTTTCTTGCCAAATCACACTGCTGAGGACCTATAGTAAAATGCTGAATGAAGCTGACAAGAATCAACATTTGTGCCCTGTTCCAAGTAAAGGAAAGGCATTCACAGTTTTACCACTGTATATTAATTGTAGCTGTTGTAGAGGTAGACTTTATCAAACTGAAGAAATCCGAGCTAACTGAAAGTTTTTGTCATTAATGGGTATTCACTTTTTCAACTATTTACTTGGCTTCTATTTAAAGGATTACGTAATGTTTCTGTCCCTAAATTGGATTTTCTTTGTCCAGAGTACAAGCCCTGGAATCTACTAATCATTTCAAGACCTGTTTTCATATTTATTCAGATAGAATATCAGTGAAATGAAAAGAACAGACATAAACTATGGGGAAATGTCAAAGATGCATCTGATTTTAAGAAGACTATCATCCAAAATATACAAAGAATTCTTAAAACTCAGCAATAAGAAAATGAATAAACCATTTTTTTTGTTGTTGGTGGTGGTGGTCATGGGGCTTGAAGTCTGGGCCTGGGCACTGTCCCTCAGCTCTTCAGCTCAAGGCTAGCACTCTATCACTTAAGCCACAGCACCACTTCGTTTCCTGGTGGTTTATTGGAGGTAAGATTCTCATGGATAAGATTCTCAAAGCCTGCCCAAGCTGGCTTTGAACTGCAATCCTCAGATCTCAGCTTCCTGAGTAGCTAGGATTACAGGCATGAGCCACTGGTGCCCAGCTGAACAAACTACTTTTAAAGACTCAGATACCTCACCAACGATGACACACAGGTGGAAAAGAAGGGTATCACAAGATGCCTGAGAAAGAAGCTACAAGTTAAAACAAGGCAACACTCTACACCTACGCAAATAGTGAAGCTCAGTGCACAGATAGGACTACTGATGAGGATGCAAAGCATTAGAACTTGCATCCACTGTTGTTGACAGGAAACAATGGCACACATACTTTGGAAGACAACAGTTTCTACCTACTCTGCTTCTGTCTCACCAGACAAGACCATACTGTGGCCTTTTCTGATTTCATCACCTCTGGAAGCAACCTTTCTGCTCATCAAAGCTAAATTAGCAACTCCTTCACTTTGTGTTGAGAGCACTTATCACTAAATAACCACTATACATTTTACCTACTGGGATATACATTTCACGTGAGCATACTTAGTCTTTTATGTTTATTCCCAATCTCCATATTGTCTGTGAAGCAGTGATTGGTGATCACTTGTGTACTAGTTTGCTTACTGTTTCTTGTCCCTTCTAATGAACTATCTACTCAAAAGTATCATTAGCGGAAGTGGCACTGTAGCTGAAGTGGTAGAGTGCTCTCCTTGAGCTGAAGAGCTGAGGGAAAGCGCATAAGCCCAGAGTTCAAGCCCCACTACCGACCAAAAAAAAAAAAAAAAAGGCAAAAGCCAGGCGCTGGTGGCTCACGCCTGTAATCCTAGCTACTCAGGAGGCTGAGATCTGAGGATCGCAGTTCAAAGCCAGCTTGGGCAGGAGAGACCGTGAGACTCCTATCTCCAATAAACCACCAGAAAACCGGAAGTGGCACTGTAGCTCAAGTGGTAGAGCGCTC